CAGATCTAATCCAGACCTAACGCAGATCTAAGCCAGATCTAATCCAGACCTAACCCAGACCTGGTATGTACAATACTGAACAATAATACTTTTAATTCTTCAGAAATTAACAACTGCTATTAGATACATTAAGCAACACACTATGATCATATCATTTTAATTATTTAAAAAGACACTACTTATGTCTTTTATGATTAATAAAAACTAGTTAATTTATTATTTACACTGTGGCTCAAGTACAATAGTGAGTTTCTCTGTTTTTGTCAATGAAGGTAAAGAATTCTATTTCCTAATTTTGTTTAAAATTCTTCGATATACACAGAGGTATATCAAATTTTAATATCAACACTGAAATTTTCATTATAATGAAATGCATTATAAATTCAAAAAGACTGGGTGACTTTTTAATGTATCACGTGGTAAAAAACAATATTACAGCCGCCATTAATGAAACAAAACCCCAATTATCTAACGGTGTAATAGAAAATTGGGCAAAATGAGTCGAGCTCATGAAAAAAAAAGCCCCGTCGGTCAATTCAAATGAATGATATTGTGTTCCACGATGAATGTCACAAAGTGGACTTTGTATTAAAATAAAAAAACCTGAAGTATCTCAAATAATTCGTGTTTTATTTCAATTTAAAGATTTCGTCAATTATCATTTCACCAACCAACAAACACACTTCCAATATACAAAGAAAAAGCAAACTAATCGAAATATTACAAAGCAGTATGGAAGATGAACGAAGTTGCAATGGTCTCGATGATTAGTTGGTTTGCAGATAGTTAGTTAGTTTGCCAGTTAGCTAGTTAGTTTGCAGTTAGTTAGTTAGTTTGCAATTAGTTAGTTTGTTTGCAGATAGTTAGTTAGTTTGTCAGTTAGTTTGTTCGTTTGTCAGTTAGTTAGTTAGTTTGCAGTTAGTTTGTTGTGACGGCGTGGTGCAAATTAATTTGAGAATCGAGTGTTGGAGGACCGGCGAGGGTGGGGAAAGATGGACGGACAAAGGACAGGGTAAGTCCCGAATTGGTCCAACAAGTGAATCGAGCACTCGAGACCGAGAACGAGGAAACGAGCAACAAAAGTACCCCTCTCTCCGGGCGATTCCCTGGTAAAAAGGAGGAGACGACACAGAGGGCCGGTTGTTTCGTGAAATTCTCCCAGAGAGCTGGCCCTTCGAGAGGGCCCTCGAGTGATCGCGGCTCTGCCTTTCGAGTGCGACACGCCGATTCGAGCCTTCTAATGCTCGCGATGACGTCTTTGCGATACGGGGGCCATCGACGTTTTCAAGTAGCCACCTCGGCCTTCCTAGAAACTCCTCTCCAACGCTAAACTATTCCTCTTCTGGCATAATGGCTCGTTATGTTGCGTGTAAATACGATGTTCCCAGAGTGTAAATTGCTGCGCGGAAAGATTTGGGTACGACCATACGAGCAACGTGAAACCTTCGAGTCCAAGGAAACTGGTGCTTCGAGAAACGGATTTCTTTCTTCCAGTGTAGCTTCTAATTTAAATATTATCCTTGCTAATTGTTAAAATTCATCTCTCAAGTGTTGGTTACGATTCCTGACATTCCTATAAAACACTACTATAATCGATATCTTAATATATTTCGATATTATTTATTCAGATAGCTACATATGTAATTTTAGAAGTCAAATATCTCTTGAACAGAGAGTTTGCGAATATTCTTCTAGAAGAATATAATTTTGTCATATTTCAAAAGCTCCATGTTGTTTGAGGATTATAATAGGAGATTCTAGAGGCCAAAATAGGACGAAAATGAAGAATACCAATTTCTTGATGGAGGCTTCGTTAAAAAGTTATTAACGTTTAAAGTTGTGGCTGTAGAACTGCAATTTGACCACGTTCTCGAATTTTTTTCTCGAAAGTGCATAGGATTTCGGGGGTATGTGTAATGACCAAAAATGATTGTACTTGATCCCCGCAACCGAAAATAATTTTTCCAGAACGATTTGAAATTTTTTAATTTCAGCACCATCCACCCCCTGTCGATTTTTCTTAGAAATTCGTTTTTCATTTTTAGTAATTTTCTTTGACGCCCTACAGAAAAGTTGTGTAACACTTTTTTGTAGGTATCCATGAACTCTACATCCCCCCAAAATTTCAATGAAAAATATTTACTATTGTGGAAGTTATGACTGTTTGAAAATTGTACCCTTTTGATGGGGTTTTTCATTTTTAGTAATTTTGTTTCACGCTCTACAGAAAAGTTGTGTAACACTTTTTTGTAGGTATCCATGAAGTCTACATCCCCCCAAAATTTCAATGAAATATATTCATTATTGTAGAAGCTATGACTGTTTGAATATTGTACCATTTTAATATGGTTTTTTTCTCTTTAAGAGGATCAAGGAACAACTTTTTCAATATTATCAGAATTTCTACATATTCTGCACCTAAATACGCGTTGTTTGCCGTTTGAAACATTAAAATCCTTCAATCCGTTCAAAAGTTATGACGTTTTAAAGATACGCACGAAATTTTGGAGTGACATTTCTGGCCTGAAATTATATTTTCGGTAAAGAATTTTTTTTCTCGAAAGTGCGTAGGATTTCAGGGGCATGACTATTCACCAAAAATGATTGTAATTGACCCCTACAAACGAACATAATTTTTTCAAAACGATTTGTAATTTTTTTTCCTCCGAAAAATTTAGGCACTGTCAATTTTTCTTAAAAATTCGTTTTTAATTTCTAATTACCTTGGTTGCCGCTGTACAGAAAAGTTGTCTAATACTTTTTTGTAGGTATCCAAAGGCTTCACTTCAGAAAAAAATTTCATTGAAATGTATTCACTATTGTAGGAGTTATGGCTGTTTGAAAATTGGACCATTTTTACGGGGGGTTTCCCACTTTACGGGGTTACGAAACAACTTTTCGAATATTTTTGGAATGTCTACATATTTTGCACCTAAATACGCGTTGTTTGCCGTTTGAAACATTAAAATCCTCCAATCCGTTCAGAATTTATGACGTTTTAAAGATACGAAAGAAATTATCGAGTGACATTTCTGTCTTGAAATTATATTTTCGGTAAGGAATTTTTTTCTCGAGAATGGTTAGGAATTCGGGGGTATGTCTATCGACCAAAAATAATTGTTCTTAACCCCTGCCATCCAAAATAATTTTTTCAGTGCGATTTGAAACTTTTCAATTTCGCCGAAAAAAGGCACCTACCATCAGGAATTTTTTTCTCGAAAATGCGTAGAATTTCGAAGGCATGTCTAATGACCAAAAATGATCATAATCGACCTCTGTAACCGAAAATAATTTTTTTTTAGAATAAGTTCAAATTGTTTAATTTAATTTGTTAATAACTTTTTAACGAAGCCTCAGTCAAAAAATTGATGATCTTAATTTTCGTCTTATTTTTACCTCTAGAATCTCCCATTAAAATTTTTTATACATCTCTCATCAACACAATTGGTTCATCAAATATGGAGTAAATAAAATAAAAAAAATGTTTGTTTCATTAATTTTCACCAGAAAAATTTCACTTAACCATTGATTATACTCTTACGAAGGTACAATAATAAATATAAAAATTGTTTATATTGTATTAAGTTGTCTTTCTACCTCGTGAAATTTAAAAAATCGAATTTTTTTTTGCATTTCCTTTTAGTATACCAAATATTAAATTGAAATTAATAATGGTGATAATTTAAACGACTAAACGCACAAGAAATTTGATCATTACTTTTATTAATTATTATAGACCCGATATTGACAAATTTCAACCAGTTAAAGAATATATAGTTCTCCCATACGTATCGACGCGAATGTATTCATTGAATAGCAGTGATAAAGGAGTATAGATACTGACGTTGCATTGTTATTCCCCTCACAATGCGATTCAGCGGTCCAGCAACTATTCTCAGGGTTTAAAAATTAATGGTGCAAATAAATTATTTGGAGAATCGATAGCTCGAAACGATACCGTTGGTAAATAAAAATTATTCCATGCGAGTGAGTCACATGAAGAATTCATTCGTGGAGAAAGAACAGATTTAGAACAGTAATTTATTCTTAAAATTAAGCAGTAGGAAAGAAACAAGAGAAAATTTACATTTAACACCATAAAAATACTAATTATTATTCTAATATCTTTATTAATAAATATGTAGCTTATCGAATGTATCCTCAATTCTCTTTTTTTCGCTGTTTTGTTATTCCCAATCGTCATTTTTTCCCGCTCGGCTAATCTCGGCCGCCTTCGTGTGTTTCCGTCGACTCCAGCCACACATACAGCTGCTGTTCCTTACAGCGCGGTTTTATCGCGATCGCGAATCCAATAATCAGACCACAGAACCCTCGCAAATGGACGAAAAAGGCCAGAAAAATTCAATTCAAACCAACGTCTGCAATGTTCGACTCTGCCAAGAGAAACAAAAGCTCGCAATTATTCTAACGATCCCTCGAAACAGAAAGTTCGCCAATCAGTCTCGCGCGGCTCACCAACGCGTTCTGAATCCAATACACACCCCAAAATACCCATTTTCATTTCCCAACGTGCATTCGTTCGTTTCCACATCGAGAAAATGACGAAGAGGGGCTTTGTTCTTCGATTCTTCGCCACAAATGGCAAAATAACTTGACTTGGAGCCTCGAAAAAGGCGTAGAACTCATGCTCAAGATTTCAGACAAGATTTCCTCTCTATTTTTGCCTCTAATTTTGGATATTTCATTGAACATTGTGGTACAATTTTTTAAAAGATACCTTGTTTCAAATGAGTCCTTTTTGTGTATTAGTAAACATTTTTATAAGTAGTTTAATGTTTCTATAATATAAATGTGGAAGCCTGAAATTGTCCACCATCGAGGACCATCAGAAACTAGCATAAATTTCTTTAGAAATTGAACGAATTTCATCAATCACAAAAAGAGTATTAAGCTCAGTTGTTTGAGCTGATTGAAATGTTCAAAAATTTGTCTAACGTAAACGTAAACGTAAACGTAAATTTAAACCATAGTGTTCAAGTATGATAATCTCCTCATCTACTGTCGACTATGAACACGAAATAAGTATGACGACCCCCCCCTTTTCTAAACATTTATATAAGTTCCTTTTAGATAATATTCAAGGTCAGAGAGTGAAAGAGAAACCTAAACAGAATATGATGATGTGGATAATGAGGATGACGAGGAAGATGATGAGGATGATGATGAGGATGTTGATGTGGCCATGGCAGATGATGATGATGATGAAGATGAAGATGAGGAGGATGAGGATGATGATGACGAGGATGATGAGGATGATGATGACGAGGATGAGGATGATGATGACGAGGATGATGATGACGAGGATGAGGATGAGGATGATGATGAGGATGTTGATGTGGCCATGGCAGATGATGATGACGATGAAGATGAAGATGATGATGATGAAGATGAAGATGAGGATGATGAGGATGATGATGAAGATGAGGATGATGAGGATGTTGATGTGGCTATGGCAGATGATGATGACGATGACGACGACGATGATGATGATGAAGATGAAGATGAGGATGAAGATGATGAAGATGAAGATGAGGATGATGAGGATGATGATGACGAGGATGAGGATGACGAGGAAGATGATGAGGATGTTGATGTGGCTATGGCAGATGATGATGACGATGACGACGACGATGATGATGATGAAGATGAAGATGAGGATGATGAGGATGATGATGACGAGGATGAGGATGATGATGACGAGGATGAGGATGACGAGGAAGATGATAAGGATGATGATGACGAGGATGAGGATGACGAGGAAGACGATGAGGATGATGATGAGGATGTTGATGTGGCTATGGCAGATGATGATGACGATGACGACGACGATGATGATGATGAAGATGAAGATGAGGATGAAGATGATGAAGATGAAGATGAGGATGATGAGGATGATGATGACGAGGAAGATGATGAGGATGTTGATGTGGCTATGGCAGATGATGATGACGATGACGACGATGATGATGATGATGAAGATGAAGATGAGGATGATGAGGATGATGATGACGAGGATGAGGATGACGAGGAAGATGATGAGGATGTTGATGTGGCTATGGCAGATGATGATGACGATGACGACGACGATGATGATGATGAAGATGAAGATGAGGATGATGAGGATGATGATGACGAGGATGAGGATGATGATGACGAGGATGAGGATGACGAGGAAGATGATAAGGATGATGATGACGAGGATGAGGATGACGAGGAAGACGATGAGGATGATGATGAGGATGTTGATGTGGCTATGGCAGATGATGATGACGATGACGACGACGATGATGATGATGAAGATGAAGATGAGGATGAAGATGATGAAGATGAAGATGAGGATGATGAGGATGATGATGACGAGGATGAGGATGACGAGGAAGATGATGAGGATGTTGATGTGGCTATGGCAGATGATGATGACGATGACGACGACGATGATGATGATGAAGATGAAGATGAGGATGATGAGGATGATGATGACGAGGATGAGGATGACGAGGAAGATGATGAGGATGTTGATGTGGCTATGGCAGCTGATGATGACGATGACGACGACGATGATGATGATGATGATGAAGATGAAGATGAGGATGATGAGGACGAAGATGTCGATGATGAAGAAGAAGATAAAGTTACAGCAGATATAAGTTCCTTTTAATCTCTGTTCAGTTAAAGTAAATTTCGCTTTAAAGTTTAAAGTTCGTCTCCAATTTTATTAATTTTCTATTTAATAAAAAAATACGTGGTCCCAATTTCGAGTGTATGATAAAACGTACGATTAATCTCTCTTGGAAATATTAATAAAACGTTTGAATTTCCAAACGATGGGAAGCAACATCCTCCAGTTTGCGTCCCTATTTATTTCAAACAGATTTGTCCCCGACGATGGTTAATCGTTCTTTTCTTCTTCTCTTCTTACGAGAGCCAGACTCGCGATAAATCTCTCGACACAGATGTCAGAATATTTGGAACGCTTAACCAGGCCCCGAGAAGTGAGAGATCAACGGAAGATTAATACGTCGATCACGGTCGTCCTCTAGGTTCAGTGATCGCTCATTTTTCCACGAAAGGAGACCGCTGTGGACCTCGATCAATCTGGCCCGGAGAAAAACGGCTCTTTTGCAAATCGTCGCCGTTCGATTTACATTAAAAAAGAGGCTCGTAGACCGGGTGATCGATCGAGGAGCATCGAATCGATATTAGGGGGATCGAGCACCCCGTAGGAACGCTAGTTTCTACCTGTGGCGTTGAAAACTACCCCTAAGGAGGGCTGCTGATAATAGCGTGTAATAACTTCCGACGAATATCGTTTGAAATATCATAAGATCTGCTCAAAAACTAAGCTTTTTGCAATTAAAAAATCGATTTTAAATGGTCGATTTCACTTGGCAACAATTTTAATGCCAAGCGTTTGGACGTTAATTCTTAATAATTCTGCGCCATTTTACAGAATTTCAGACCTCTCCTCCCGTTACTTTAGGCAGAAGAATTTCTCTGAATTCGAGGTATCCTGGTTTCTATTTACAAAAGAATTTTCGATGGTTTTCTTTTTTCTTTTCGTCGATGTGCCAACGAGAACGATCAAGGGACGTCGGATTTTTGCAGGACCAGCTAATCCTTTCGCTCCTCGCGCGTGATCAGTTCCTTCGAGTAACGTTGATTCGGTTTTTGACGACGAGTGAACGCGAATAATACAATTTACGGAAGAATCAGTTCGACAACAAAAGGGGAAAGGCAGTCAGAAACGCGGCAATAATCGAGAAATGGCCGAGTCTTTCGAAGAATGACGGACATTACGACGATTATTTTCCACATTTTCCCCGAATTTTTCCGAGGACCTCGAACACATTCTCGATCGTAAAGGTTTCGTTGTTGTTCCGCGGTGCGTCGCTTCGACCTCCGAAATGCCAAGTTTCTTTTAGCGACGAACTTGTAAAATTTACGAATACAACGAAGCGCGATAAAAGTTTTGTTTCCATTGATTCGTAACATTTTGTAAAGACATTTTGTGAAAATATATTCCGCATCGTCGACAACAATTTTGCGACCGGAAAGTGAAACCGGGGAAAAAACAACTTGCTTCCTCTATTCTTCGAGTCGAACAATTTCAAAGTGAAACAATTATACCTTGACTATTCCCATCGAAAAACGCGTTCGAACGTTGCGTTAAAATCAAATTGTTTTTAGTTCGATCAGGTGTGTTTGAAAGGACACGGCGCAGATACTATGGAAAATGGCCCCCGGTTAAAGGGTATAGCCGAATAAGGGGGTCAAATGTGCCCTTGAACCAAATTTGACATACGATGGATCCATCGATAGAACATCAGAGAAAAACATTCTGTACCAAATTTGAACCCTCTATCATGTTCGGAAGGGTAGTTATTGGGAAAATTCGGATTAGCGAATTTGTGCCTGTTTCCCCTATTTAATCGAGTATGAAAATTATGAAAAAAATCTGGTGCATTGCGACTATTGAGATACGTGTTTGAGAATTTTTTCCGATTTTTCGATTTCAAATCCTAGATGTGAAAAATTGAAAACGCAAAAAAACGCAGAAAAATACCGATTTCGTATTGAAGCTTTCGAGACACTAGATTTATATAATTACTGTAAATGTATATTGTCGTTGGTTATGTCCCTGAATTTTTTCAGATTTTTTGGCAGGGTGCGCCGTAGTAGCAAAAATGAAAAACCGATTTTTTCGGCGTTTTTCGCGTGAAAAAGCAACTTATACTTTGAATTTTTGTATTCCCTTTAATAGATAACTGTATTCTGTGGTTTTAAACATTTCCATGCTGAACTTTTGATACGATGTGGTTCATTGTGTCTCGATGAAAAGTTCTGAGATTCGGGGGATCAAAAGTTGATAATAGTGTGCCTTATTTTAGACTACCACGTTTCATATTTGGATAATTACTTTAGCGATTCCTCGTTAATTTCGATGACCTTGAAGTTTGTTGTCAAGGTCACTATTATGAAGATTTTTTCTCTAATATAACCGCCGCGAGTTCTTAGTTTCCATGATTTTTCGTTAAAAAGATCGCTGTTATTGCCATGAATCTTGTTTAGTCGAGGTTTGTTCAAAAAATAAGTATTTAAAAAAATTTTTTTTTATTTAATGTACAACTTATTGCTCTTTGTCCCCTCCTCTATTCACACACTTGTTCCAGCGATGTTTTTACAGTGCATTCCTCGAAAGCTTCTTTTGGAGCATCCTTCAATGCCTGACGACGAATTGCTCTTGATGTCCTCGGTTGAGTCAAAATGGCGTCATTTCAGGACTGATTTTAATTTTGGGAGCAAGAAAAAGTCGTGGGGAGCAAGGTCTAGGGAATAGGGAGGTTGGGGGAGGACAGTCGTCTGATTTTTAGCACAAAACTGGCGAATCAACAAGGCTGAGTGAGCAAACACATTGTGATGGTGAAGGAACCATGAGTTGTCTCGCCACAATTGTGGTCTCTTTTTGCAAAATTTCTCGCGCAACCCTCTCAAAACGCCTTCATAGTACCTAGCGTTGATTGTTCGACCTTGAGGCAAAAATTCAAAATGCACATCTCCGTTGAAATCGAAAAAAACCGGTGAGCATCGCCTTGACGGAGCATCGAACTTGTCGTGCTTCTTTTTAGCGTGGAGATCCTTTGTTAAACCACTCAGAAGACTAGAATTTCACTTCCCAGAAGCTTGCTTGGAAAGTTCAAACGATTTCGTGAATGTTTTCCCCAATTTTACGCAAAATTTCACGTTGCATCGCCGCTCTAGTAACTCTAACATTGCGAAAATCCCTAGGAACAGTTGAAACACGTTGCATTTCAAGTAGCAATTACTCGTAAACTAAGTAAGTGTTGAAGATTAAGCATTGATTCTTATATATTTGATAGAAATTTGTATCTAATAGTGCTGCCCCCTTCCTTGCTAAGGTCAATACTACCTCAGAAGGACACTCGTTTATGGCACCTTCAAGCTCAGCTGGAAAACCGTCAAACTATGAACAGCATTTCCATTTTGTGAAAATATATCTCAGAAACTCTGTTGCATTCGTTCAACAAATAAATCTTCAACATCAAGATGCAAAGAATTAGTAAAAAAGTCAGATACCAGGAAGATTATGACAATTGCAATTGCAAACACGCGACTAAAAAAGTTCAGTTTTTGAACGGATTCGTCAACTTCTTATCGCTGGTTTCGAGCATCGATTAACGCGTGAAAATAAAATTCGAGGAGCAATTTCGCCCTACGATCGTTTCGAAGAACAAAGTAACTATGGCGACAGGGCGCAGAAAGATTGGAAATATATTTTCAGATATGCATTCGATAAAAAGAGGCGAAAAGGAACATTTTCATGAGAATATTGTGAGTGGAGTGTGTTCCGCGATGCTGGATGTTTCCTTCGTTAATTAAAAATTGTTTCCAGCAACGTGGTCGTTCGTTAGAAGGAATTCATTTATTTTCCATGCGAGTATGACTGTACTTTCGTTATTTCGGAAAATGGATACGCGTAGTCGCAACGTCTCACGATTCTCTGCGTCGCGAATCACGGAACAGCGAATTCCTCTTATATTAACGAGAACGCGAGCCACGAGGATCATTTTTAACCAATTTGTCGGTGAACTTTGTTAAATTCGAACGTGTTTAAAAAATAATTCGAATTAGGATCTAGTTTTCTATTATTCTGCGATAAACTTTCCGTTTCTCCGCCATGTTTGCCATTTATTAGAATCTCGCGATGAAGTTTTTCATTTTAAAACGAAAAATAAAATTATTGCACCGCATAATAACTCTCTTGCGCGTTCCAATTTGGAGCATGCGAGTTTAACGCGGACCCGAATCAGGTCAAATATCGAATCTTGTTAGGGGGAAGGTTTGGAACGAATTTCTGCGCCTCTTGCAAATTAAGTTCCGCCATATGTACGACGACCATAATTATAATCGTGTCATCGACTCGATAATGCTATACAGGGTGTTCGGCCACCTCTAGCAAAAATTTTAATGAGCGACAGTAGAGGCCAAAATAAGACGAAAATCAAGAATACCAATTTGTTGATGGAAGCTTCGTTAAAAAGTAATTAACAATTAAATTCAAAAATTTCAAATCGTTCTGGAAAAATTATTTTCGGTTGCGGGGGTCAACTACGATCATTTTTGGTGAGCACACATACCTCCGAAATCCTATCTACTTTCGAGAAAAAAAATCGAGTAGGTGGTGAAATTTTTCGTGCGAAAAAAAATTTTTCAAATCGTTCTAAAAAAATTATTTTCGATTGCGGGGGATCGATTGCAATCATTTTTTTTATCATTGCACATACCTCCGAAATCGTACGCACTTTCGAGAAAAAAATTCCTCACTGAAAATCCAATCAGGTGCCTAAATTTTTCAACGGAGAAAAAAAATTGCAAATCGTTGTGGACAAAATTATTTTCGGTCGCGGGGGTCAATTGCAATCAGTTTTTGTAATTAGACATACCCACGAAATCCTGCCCACTTTCGAGAAAAAAAATAGAGAAGGTGTGAAATTATTCGAGAAAATTAAAAAATTGCAAATCGTTGTGGAAAAATTATTTTCGGTTGTAGGGTTCAATTACAGTCATTTTTGGTGAATAGACACACCCCCGAAATCTTGCGCATTTTCGAGAAAAAAATTCAGTAAGGGCGGCACTTTGAACGTTAATAACTTTTTAACGAAGCTTCCATCAACAAATTGGTATTCTTGATTTTCGTCTTATTTTGGCCTCTGCTATCGCTCATTAAAATTTTTGCTAGTGGTGGCCGAACACCCTGTATAATGAATCCGAACGGTTAAGAGGGAATATAATAGAAATTAAAATGGTTAATTATATATCAAGGGCGGATAAAAATCCAACAATGAACCGTGAAATGAATGTCGGAAAAAGTGCCAACGATCAAGACGGTCGAGAGAAAAAAGTAAATTTAATAATGTGTGAAACGAACGCAATGTTCTTTGGAAAATTCTTGATTCAAAGATTTGAACAGTTATGAGAGTTTTAGGCTAGAGAAGAATATAATAAATAATAAAGAAAGCAACACAAAATTGCTCAGCCTTTTTGTAAACACTCTTTGTATATATATGAAACAGATTTTTCTTTGTTTTTGTATAGTGAAAATACGTCACATTAGATACTAGTTTGAAAAGATTTAGACAATATCGAATAGTATCTAGGTTTAGAAGGCTTTTTACAATTTTTTTAACAGTTTGCAACTGCATATATTATTATTAAATTGTAAGAGGTTATTTCATTCAATAAAAAATGGTTATTTTAGCTTATTTATTATATATTTTTAATGTTATTTTAGCACAATTTAACCCAGTATAAGCCAGTGTCCCATATGTGGGTCACTGAGTATTTTATTTTTTTTTCCAACCCTTAAAATTCGGTTCGAATTAAATGAAAAATTTACCACACATATCTTAGGGTGTATTAAATTATAATTATCGTTGTATTATATTATCAATATTCTTTAAATAAAAAAATTGTAAACATTGCATAAATTTTCTTACTTTGTCTCGAATTATATACTGAATCATAAAAACTAACGCATCGAATTACGGTTTTTTAAATTTTGTTTGCAATTTTTAACGTAGAATGTTATTTTAGCGCCATTTAACCCATTATAAGCCAGTGCCCCATATGTGGGTCACTGAGTATTTTATTTTTCTTCCAACCCTTAAAATTGGTTCAAACTAAATGAAAAATTTACCACTTATATTTCAGGGTGTATCAAACTAAATTATAATTATTCTTGCATTACATTACCAATATTTTTTTAATAAGAAAATTGTAAACATTGCATAAATTTTCTTACTTTGTCTCGAATTATATATTGAATCATAAAAACTAACGCATCGAATTACGGTTTTTTAAATTTTGTTTGCAATTTTTAACGTAGAATGTTATTTTAGCGCCATTTAACCCATTATAAGCCAGTGTCCCATATGTGGGTCACTGAGTATTTTATTTTTTTTCCAACCCTTAAAATTGGTTCAAATTAAATGAAAAATTTACCACATATATTTCAGGGTGTATCAAACTAAATTATAATTATTCTTGCATTACATTACCAATATTTTTTTAATAAAAAAATTGTAAACATTGCATAAATTTTCTTACTTTGTCTCGAATTATATACTCGATCATAAAAACTCCATATCGTCGCTTTTTTTATCATCAAATGTCTCATTCCTATTGAGGAACGATTATTCAAGATTGTTGTAAACTTTGTTTATGTATTTTTCAGCAAAAACTCATATTGCTCACAAGTTTTATATACCTATAAATAGGACACTTAGCGTTATCAAAATGTATGTACTATGTATGTAAAAATTAAATTGTGAATTTATTAGGAAATTTAATATAAATGCAAAGTATGATAAATAGTGAAAAAATATGGAATTTTCGAAAAGAATTGTCGATTGATGAAATGATTGATATTTTGGACACAACTCGTCGAAACAATTTATACGTGGAAAGTCTATTCGATTTGGCTAGAAATTTTGGGCTCTTTGCGGAAGCAGCGGATACTGTTATAAGTTTGACTTATATACTGGCGAAACAATCGCTAAAATGAGCGTGAAGACTCGATCTTAGGATCGAGAGTAGTACTTGATATGTTAGATCGCATTTCTGACCCTGCTAGCCATTGGATATTCTTTGATAATTTATTTACCAGTCGAGATTTATCGATACGCTTACAGAAACGTGGATATAGAGCAACGGGAACATTGAGAGAAAATAGATTATCAAAGTGTCCCATAAAAGATAGAAAATCTCTTGGTAAAGAAGCTCGAGGATCATACGATTTTCGATTCGATGTAAACGGGGAAATACTATTTGTGAAATGGAATGACAATAAATGTGTAACTGTTGCATCTAATTTTGATAATGTAGAACCTCTCACGCAAGTCGGTAGATGGGATCGCAAGATAAAAGGAAAACGTTTAATTTCTAAACCACAAGTGTTGAAAAATTATAATACTTATATGGCGTGGATCAACATGACTGGTTTGTCGGAAAGTATGCCACTAAAATCAGAGCTTAGAAGTGGTATTGGCCAATTTTCACAAGACTAATTGATACGACAATAGTAAATTCATAACTTCTTTACAAACGTGTCAATAAATATCAGTTTATTAGAATTTCGTCGATCTGCAGCAGTTTCCTATCTAAAATTAACTTTAAATACAAGAACTATGGGAGACCATGTATATCAGCTTTTAAAGTATTCACGTATGTAAGATTTTACGGAAAAAGGACATTTAATGGAAAAACGTGAAAAACAGCGTCGATGTCAAGGAGAGGGTTGCAAAGCTAACGAATATATCGTGGAAAGTGTACAGTAACATTATGTAAAAATAGTTTTATAGATTATCGTAAGAAATAAATGTATTTTTATTAGTTTCAAATAAATATTTCAGTTTATAATTGTTTTCAATACTTTCATATACATATACTATACACTTGTAATTTTGATAGCACTCCCAGCGTCCTATTTACAGGCCAAAATTCAAAAATGTGAGGATGGGAAAAAATCGTTGAAAATATTTTCTTATTCAGGGGCAAGGTTACTAATAAATCTGAATAAGTGAAATTTTGAAATTTGAAAAAATTATAATTTGAGCGTTAATGGGTCGAACATTCGTATCAAAGAGTCGTTCAGCAAACAAACGGAATAATAAAATAGTATCAAGGAGGGAAAGGATCGATTGTTCGATCACGCAGCAGCCACGTCTGAAAATTCAAGGATGAATCGTAACTAAGCACGAATAAATAATCGAGAAAGAGTTAGTTTGCTAAGGTGGTAGGGGGAGGGGGGTGTAAGACGCGATTTATTTTCATCCGAAAAGGACAATTCCACGGACTGGCGTCGACCGTTCCTGTAAATATTAGGAAAGAGAACGCTTCGCCATTGTACGTTCCTTCAAAGTGCAGCCCCTGGGTTCTCCGGTGCACACGCCGCTTCCCTTTTCTCGTTTTTCTCCTTCGCCCCTTTCCCCCGGCCCCCCCCCCTACTCCTCCGGGGCAGCACTGCTCCTTTTTCCGGGTCGAATATCGATCCTGATATTTCTTCGTCCTTTTTTTCAACGTCCGTGCGAGCGTCATTTCCAGGAGTTCTTTCTTTCTCCTCGCCACCCCCCCGTGCCACTCTCGTGCCACCACCCCCCCCCCTCCCACGCAAGAAGTTATATTTCTCGATCTAGCGTGCCGGGGTGCGCTCATCGGTCACCCAGGTGGGGGGGCAGGGGGGCGGGGGGCGGGGGGCGGGGGCCGACGAATTTTCTCGCTATTTCTGTTATTCGCTGTTTGTTCCGCCTCCCGGTCCATCGAAAACACTTATTTATTTATATCGCGGGAAAATTATTCCTCGAATGTTCGATGTTTGCTCCAAACTTTCCGGTGTTTGATAATTATATTTTTTCTGTAGAATTTCCTTCTAAAAGTCTCAAAAGACACTTCTATTTCGAGAAATGAAACGTGCAAAATATATTTAATACCAAATGTTTCATCAGACAGATTATCGAATGAGAATTTCTTTAAACTCGTCGTTGTAGGTTGCAAAATGGCTCAAAGTTTCGACATGGAAAAATGGTTTGAAGATTCGAAGTGGCGAAAATGGGAAAAATGGCTCGACCAACTGGCAATTGTATTCTGGAATAAATTTTAGGGATTTTAATTATTCCTCGCTAAAAATCAAAATGTACACTTAAAATAATAGTATATTGCGTTTAAAGGCACGTTCAAAAGATGTGGTAAATATAGAAAAAAATGAGACCAAAAAGGAGACCATAATGGCTAATCGATTAAGGGTTGGATATAGTATCGAGTGAAAATTCGCCAATATTGGTTGAAGAATGATTTAATACGTTTGCTACCACAGGTCATATAGGTGCTTGACACGCATGCGTAACTGCAACGGTTGTCTATTTTGTAATTCTATTAACAAACGAAATCTAAACTGTCTCTAATCAAAATATTCAGATAGTCTATTAATTATAGCTTCTTCGTAGATAATTCAAAGCATGCAAGATTGCAGAAGATTTTCTAACGATCTTCGAACGATGGTAGCAAAGGTGTAAATATTTTGACATAATGGCGCCCGTCGAACGATCGTCACGGTTTAAAAGACGCGAAAAATCGTATGAAAATGTAAGAAATTTTTATTCGAAAACGGTGAAGTCATCGAAGACGATTTGTACGGTGTTCGTCGATATTTCCGCAACATATTGAAAATCTCGCTTTTTATCGCGAGCCAGCGTCCTTCCTCAAAGCCCCATACCTCACCCCCCTCGGTTTCTTCCTTCTTGTACCTTCCGTTCTTTCCCGCCCTTCTTTTTTTCCAGGAGGGGGGTTCAATATCGATCCCGTGGCCGGTTTTTCTTTTTCTTCCCCCTATATCCCTCCAACCCCCCGTTTTCTCCCTATTTCCGCGAGTGCCGCCCTTTTCCTCCCTTTTTCCTGTTTTCATCAAACCACCGGCGCGAGATAGAGGCCGCCTCGAGCCTCGAATAATTTTATAAAAATACCCGCCGGCTCCAGAGAGATCAGCTACCACTGACCGCCTCCGTTAACGTCGCCCTAGACGATCCCAATCGTTTCTTCATCCCCTTTCCCGGCCAACGCGTTCACCAATAAACGCGATCCAACGATATCGTCCGCCATCTACGATTTTTCAACCCAAGAAATTCGTCAAAGACCAAGTTAATTCGTCAAATTGGACAATTGACGATCGTCGATCGATATATTAGGTTAGGTTAGGTCTGGGTTAGGTCTGGGTTAGGTCTAGGTTAGGTCTGGGTTAGGTCTGGATTAGATCTGGATTAGATCTGGGTTAGGTCTGGGTTAGGTCTGGGTTCACTTTGGGTTAGGTCTGGGTTAGGTCTGGATTAGATCTGGGTTAGGTCTGAGTTAGGTCTGGGTTAGGTCTGGGTTAGGACTGGTTTAGTTATAGGTTAGGTCTGGATTAGGTATGAGTTAAATCTGGGTTAGGTCTGGATTAGATCTGGGTTCTAATCCAGATCTAACCGAGACCTAATCCAGATCTAATCCAGACCTAACCCAGACCTAACTCAGATCTAACCCAGACCTAACCCAGACCTAACTCAGATCTAACCCAGACCTAACCCAGACCTAACTCAGATCTAATCCAGACCTAACCCAGACCTAACCCTGACCTAACTCAGATCTAATCCAGACCTAACCCAGACCTAACTCAGACCTAACTCAGATCTAACCCAGACCTAACCCAGACCTAACTCAGATCTAATCCAGACCTAACCCAGACCTAACTCAGATCTAATCCAGACCTAACCCAGACCTAACTCAGATCTAATCCAGACCTAACCCAGACCTAACTCAGATCTAATCCAGACCTAACCCAGACCTAACTCAGATCTAATCCAGACCTAACCCAGACCTAACGCAGACCTAACTGAGATCTAACCCAGACCTAACCCAGACCTAACTCAGATCTAATCCAGACCTAACCCAGATCTAGGGTCTGGGTTAGGTCTGTTTCAGGTCTGGGTTAGGTCTGGGTTAGGTCTGGTTCAGGTCTGTTTTAGATCTGAATTAGATCTGGGTTAGGTCTGGTTTAGGTCTGGTTTAGGTCTGGGTTAGGTCTGGATTAGATCTGAGTTAGGTCTGGGTTAGGACTGGATTAGATCTGGATTAGATCTGGGTTAGGTCTGGGTTATGTCTGAATTAGGTTTGTGTTAAATCTGGGTTAGGTCTGGATTACGTCTGGTTTGGGTTAGGTCTGGGTTAGGTCTGGGTTAGGTCTGGGTTTTTATTATTAATTCTACAGGATGACCACCGTTTCCAAACGTCTCCAGTTCAAATGGAAAACTAAAACTCGAATTTCTCGAAAAAAACCAAGTTAATTCGTCAAATTGGACAACTGACAATCGTCGATCGATATATGTATAGGGTTATCCGAATTGAGTGTCGCATCTTTCAGCAGACGAGACTGCTAAACGGTTTGATTCACGGAACATAATCAAATTATCATGAAACAAGATAGACATTGAGACAGACACTGTGCAACAACGTGTACAAATTGTTGAAAATTATTCTAAACATTCAAGTTCCGTTCGAGCTTGTTTTCGACGCCTGATTTCACGAGGAGGAGACACTAACTGGCCTCCAAGATCATGCGATCTAACTCCGTTTGTCAATTTTTCTTATGGGGGGTTTTAAAAAGTAAAATTCACGTGAATAAACCACAAACGATTCACGAGCTAAAGAACAATATTATAGTCGTCATTAATGAAGCAGAACCCCAATTATGTAACAGTGTAATAGAAAATTGGGTAAAACGAGTCGGGGTTGTGAAAAAATGACGAGGCGGTAAATTCGAATGACATCGTGTTCCATGATTAATGCTATGAAGTGGACTTTATATTAAAATAAAGAAACCTGAAATGTCTCAGATAGTTTGTGTTTTATTTCAATTTAAAGATGTGACATTCAATTCGGATAACCCTCTATTATCAATTCTATAGGATGACCACCGTTTCCAAACGTCTTCAGTTCAAATGGAAGATGACTAAAACTCGAATCGAAACGTTCAAGTCAAATTTAAACTCAAAATTAAATTATTTTCAAATCACTCGCCACCAGAGAATTCATCCGTGTGATATTTTATTTTCAATTGACAAAAATTACCTGGAAAACGAGCGCGTAGAATGCCTTAATGCACTTTTCGATCGATTTTCCACTGACTCGGTTATGCAAATGTTTGTATAAAGCACTGTCTTTCTTTCGTTTTATCCCCGGCGATTCTCCTGTTTACCCCTTTCCTTCTACTCTCCGTTTAATCCATAAAGTCCGGCAACGGGCGACTACGACACCCTTCGAGGTTCATTCTGCCGCTAAATTGCAGTTTCCTCGTTTTTTGTCGGGACTCGTTTTTTCGAGATATCGATCTTCGTCAGTCGTTCCCTACCCTCGTTTATTTGGTTTCACCTTTTTCTTCCCTCCCCTTCTTTTTCGTCGACCGCGAGAACTTCCAGGCCGCGACGACGCCACCCCCCCCCCCCCCCCCCCCCCCCCATCCCCCCACGGGAAAACATTA